CCTCATCCCGCCTGTGCCTGGCCCTCTGAAGGAGGACAAGTCCTGGTCTCTCCTGCCGACCGCGGGGTCGCTGCTCCTAGGAAATCTGCCGTCGTCTGGGCTGCCACCGGCTCGCGTCCCGGCCCGAGGCTGGCTCTGCGGCCAGCTGCCGGGCGCTGGGCAGCGCGGCCCCAAACGGGCTGCGTCTGTGAGAGAGCTGCTAAAACCTGCACAGGTTCGGCCTTGAGGGGGACTGATACAGTATAAGTCGTTGATGTGCCTGTAGTTTGTGATGGGGCAGCCGTTCGTCAACTGTACTTGAGCCTCCTCCATTTAATTTTGTGAATTGATGGTTTAGGTAGGATTGGATTTAGACTTCGATGTAAATGCTTTGCCGTAATGGGGCAGGTTTGCTCTTCAGGTTGGGTCTGAGCTGTAGCTCGTGAGTATAATCCTAGCTTCAGTATGTATCCCAGCAAGTGTGGAAGAGCTGCTGTGACACGTCTTGAATGAGGTATGCGTACAGCGTGGTCCTTATCCAGGCACGCGGGTACCTCCATGAGTTCAGCATGTCCGCTGTCACGTTTCCTTGTGTTTGTCAAGGCCTGGCTGGCCAGCCTGTGGCTGGTGAGCCCCGTGGGGCTCGCCGGCTGTTTGGGGGCAGCTGCTGTTCCGGGCCTGCAGTCTGTGGCCAGACTCGGGAGTCCAAATGCCCATGGGTGGGTTGAGATGAGCTGGGGGACCTGCTGCAGTCCAGTCCCATCCCATCGGCAGCAGCGGGATTTCCCGGGGAGCTGATTCTGGTGCTTGGCTTGTGTGTAGGGCCTCCTCCACCTCTGCGTTCTCTCTCATAGGCAGGGTGGGCTGTGTTTCTTCTCTTGCAAATAGAGATGCTACACGTTAAAATCTGAGCCAAAGAATAGCCAAAGAAAAGGAAGATATTCATTTGGTGATGACCAAATGGGTGTCATCACCCACCCCCACCTGGCCACACACTGTTGCTATTCACTTTTTGCAGGCTTTGGTGCTTGTCTGACAATATGAGAAGCCAGTTCGGTACACTAGAACAGCAAAAGTCCATCCAACCTTCCCCCCAGACTTCTTTTTTGCCATTTAGCAAAATGATGTGTTCTAAGGCTGATGCAGGGGTAGGGATCAGAAATCATTCAGGAGCAGGAATGGAAGCTGTGAAACCAATGGCTAGGCCAAGCTGAGCTGCTTTCTCGCTCGCTGTAACTTGTGGCTTCACACTCTGACCTGTGAAAGCTTTGACTTGTGGCTTGAAGAGTCAGGAAGTCTCTGCATCAGGAAAAAGCAATCTGAGCGTTGTTTGGCAGATGCTTTAAAAGAACCGGTTCAGCGAGACCACCTTCCAGACAGAGAGAAAGGACAGGGCATTTCTGCCTTTCCCTGGCTAAGGTAGTTTGTTTTTTTCGAAGATACTTGCATACGTAGGTGCTTTTTTCTGAAGTGTGCATTTTGTTACTTTGGGTCATACAAACTAATGATCGTTACGGAGTTCAGTGTGTGATTTCAGAAATTTAAGTAACTTCCCTTGTCAAGTTGACATACCTAACCGAAATACGAATGCGTTCCTTCGGTGTGCTACAGAAACAGCTCCTCAGTGCAGTAGTAAGTGCCTTGTGGCACACAGCACCTTGATGTTCAACTACAGAGCCATAGATTTGATAATTTTTTTGGTGTTTTTGAAGCTGGCAGGGGAAATTATTTGTTTCTGAATGCTAATACAAGGCAAAATAATCAGTGTGCAGTCTTGATTGAGGAGAAGATGAACCAGCTGCCCTCGTCCTTCATTGCTTTTCTCTTTTCTTTTTTCTTTTTTTTTTATAAGAGGGAGAGGAGAGAAGGAAAAAAAAATGCTAGTGCTTGTGTTTTGTTCTGACAGCTTTCTTGAATTTTGTAAAATTAGTTTGTATCGGATGTCTGACTGCACAGATTACTGATGGTGTGAGATACCTTGCCACATGCCAGACCAGCAGTGAGAGTTCAAGAAAGAATGTGCGTGACTGGAAAGTGAAAACTTTTCTTGAATGAAGAAAAGGTTACTTAGTGGCCTTTAAAATATACGAGAGATTAATAGTTTAGGTATTGTTTGTAACTGTAAGGAATCTCAAACGGGTTTGCAATGCTGAATGATCCATCTGTAGCCTAAAGGCTATGTGTGTTTATTTAAGAGCACTACTCAAAAATTGAGGCTAAGAAACTAGTAACATACCTAATTAAAACTTTGAGAGCTTAGCTAGTTATTTTATATTTTGGACTTAGGGTTTAATGCAACTTTAACGTCATCTCTTTCCTGTACACGGAGGATGTTAAGAGCATGGCATGATGTCTTGTCTGAAAGATAGCGCTGTCAGCATCAGTGTGCTGTCTGGTGCTGTGTACCAAAATCAGGTGTAGAAATCTAAAAGAAAAAACTGTTTACCCAAAGAAGGCTGGGGCCAGAATTTAGCTTAAGTGCTTGATCTTCTGATCTTATTTATATAAAAATAAACAAACTGTATCTTAGCAGACTATTGTCTTAAGAACAAAAAATGAAATCTTATCACATGGAATATCATCTCATGTCATGCCACGGTTGTCTTTGAGCTTAGGATCTGTTGATCCAGTACCTTTAATGGTGTAAGGGGATCACTCACGGAAAAATACAAGTCAAGCGTAGAAGGAAAACCTTTCTCTCTCTTAGGACAGGCAGGCAGCGAAGCCGTTGCTCAGCAAGGCTGTGCAGGCTCTGTCCTTGGAGGTTCTGGGACCTGCCTGGAGAAAGCCCTGAGCTGCCTGGTCTGATGCCAGAGCTGGCCCTGCTTGGGGCAGGGGCTTGGACTGGAGACCTCCCGAGGGCCCTTCCCACCTGAGTGACTGCAGTGCTGTGGCTAAAAGTGTGAGGCTTTTCTGGTTTTAAAGGCATTTGATAACTGCGTTTTCCTGTCTTCCTCGCCTCAGCCTACTTGCGGTAATCTTAGTCTCTTTCTTTTGGCTGTCCCAATTCCTTGCTATTGGTCTCCTTGTCTTTCAGTGGTTTTTGGTTCTCCAGCCTGCTGTTTTGCCCTGTTTGCCAGCTAACTTCTCCCTCCAGCTGCTCCCCTGCTTAACTTCACATCTGGCTTTCTTTACTTCACCAGCCCCCATTTCCCCAGCCCTTAGTTCTCTGCGTTTTGCTCAGCTGCCCCCTCCCTCCAGTTGGCTTTTCTACCCCTCTGCCCCCAGCTCGGTGCCTGGCCTTTGGCTGTGCTCCGGTCCCAATAGATGTCTTCCTCCTCCGCTCTGCTTGGGCCAGCAGGGAAGTGGCTCTTCTCCTGTACTAGAGACACAACTCTTTGCTCTCCACTTCTGTGTTGCTTGCCACCCGACAAGCTGCTCGAGAGTGCTTGCAGTCTTCATTCACCCCAGGAGTTTACAGCGTGACCGAATTTGGGTGGACATTCCTACTGGCAGAAGGCATGCCTCTTACAGAGGTTTCTGTCCTTTTCTACATTGTGAAATTGTTTTCAAAATTGGCAAAACCTCAGGCTTGAAGTGGAACGGTGCACTATGTGTTTGTGAATGTTTAAGTATGAGAAGGCTTTTTTTTTTTTCTTCTTCACCTGTTTCCTGGAAAGCTTCAGTGAAGTGACCTCGGTGTTTTCAAACAAGTTAGCAGGAGGCAGATGGTCAGGAAAAATGTGTTCTGAGTTGTTAACACAGTAAGATGTGAGATGCAGACAATTGGAATGGATGAGCTTTTGTCATGACAAGTGGCTGTGGACCTTAATTTACAGCTTCATGGGGGAGCTGGGTGAGGTTTATTGTTTTGTGCTGGACTCGATACTTTCAGTGCTATGTTCTGTACGGAATAAATAAAAGCAGTAAGTTGCAATTCAGTGCTTTGTGGATAGCAGGGACTTAAACGTATTGGTACTAGTGCACCTAGAAATGGAATGAGGAGGAGGGGTGGTTTTGCCTGTAAAGCAGTGAAAATGTAATATATGGTGATGGAATCTGGAGACCAAAAGTTAGTTACTGTGTACTTGAATGTTTCAATAGTTATTTTTATTCCTTTTCTTACTTTAGAATCTTCTCCCCACTTACCGGCACCAAAGGATGTGATGATTTATTCCTATAACTTTCGTAGTTTGCTGAGGTGGTCTCCTGTGAAAGTGGATAGAGGCTCGGTGTTATATACAGTCCATTTTAAAACGTAAGTAAATAGTTCTAAAAACAAAAAACAATTTTGTTCTAATCCAGTAACACAATTATTTCAAAAAAACCCCCAAAACCAAACTAAAAATTAATAAGCACAGAAATGAAAGTTGTCTATTACAGATGCTTTTATGTATATCCAAAAGCAGCTTTTGAAGACTGACAATCTCTTCGCCTGTGATATGTCCACTAAACTGAGAAAAGATTGAAGACCTGAAGAGCACCCAGAAATGTTGCATAGTTTCCTGTATAATTTTAGCCTTACCAAGTTCTCTCTTGCTAATTTTAATTTTTCCCAGATACTGAGAAGATGCAGGCGCTGAAAGGGCTGCGGAATTAAACCTGCATGAAAGTGGTAGTTTTGTAACACATTCTTTTGTTACAAAAATTGTCTAGGCAGGAGGGATTGTATTTTAGGTAGTTGCACTGTTCTGCTGATGCTTTATTTGTCCTTTGTTTTGCATTGCAGAGGGGCCTTTAACCAGTGGGATGAGATGAACTGCACCCGTATCACCCAGACTGAATGCGGTTTCCCCTGGTCACTTAAGGAGCGGCGCTGGACTGTTGTTTTGCGCGTGAGGGCTGAGCTAGGGCAAGTGACTTCTGACTGGGTAGAAACAGATCCATTTGTGGCAGAGAGAAACAGTAAGTGCTACTTATGATTTCAGCGTCTCTCTCCCAAAGGAGATTTCTTTGAAAAAAATGTGTGTTGTCTGTTCTAGACTTTTTTGACTCTATTATGTACAAAAGCCAAGTGAGAGAATTGCAGGTGTTCGGTTAACAAAGACTACAAGGCCTCGGTGTGTCACTAGGAATTTGATACTACTTAGTTCCTCTGTAGTGGGATTTGCCGTGCACCCTTTCAACAGGTATCAAAAGAGAAGCAGATGAGTTTCCTTGGGTGGTTGAGCCTTATAAGAGCTACAACGCATATTTTGTTAGAGAGTTTTCCATTTAATTATTTCCCCACTTAGCACGGCCGCATACACATATACTCCCTTGATTTGTGGTAGTCTCCGTACAAACTACCTGTTTCTATTGAACTGATCCCTTTTCTAATGAATATAAACTGTCCTGACTACAGTGTAGAAGGGTCAAGGGCAGACTTTAAATCCTGTTAAATGTGTGAACAAGCGTATTGTTGTTCTTTATAAGATGTGCTCTTTGCCTTGCTGTGATTGGTTTCAGGATTAGAAGAAAGTAAACGCTGAGTTTAAAAATACCTCTGAAATGATAACGAAGCAGAGGAAAGGATTTATTAACTCTTTAGTTCAAGTTCTCCCATTCCTTGTGAGGAGCAGTGGTGGTCCCTGCTGCAAAGAGTATGATACTTTCCCTGGTGACTTCCGTTCTAAATCTTGGATTTTCTCTAGTAGTAAAGAGTGTGGGGGTGAAGAATTGCCTGAATCCTGCATTGAAGTTTACAACTGACGTATCCATAGCTTGTGATGCAGGATTGTTTAGGAGTGGGATCCTGTGGGGGTTAGGAAAGCACTGAGCTAATGGGTATACATGACAAAGCAGAGGCTCGGTGTGGGAGAGATGTTTGTGTGTCTGTTCCTTGGGGGAGCAAGAGGAACATTATGTGATCATTCTTGTGTGACTGCCCTGGAGATCAGTTCCTAGACACCAAGACCATGGGCTACTCAGTCAGGCTATTCTCTTCCTTTAATGTTTGGATCAGTTCCACTGGAGAGGAGAGCTTCAGGAATTTGTGAGGACCCACAACAAGGCGTTTGCAGTTGTACAGCAACAGGAAGTAGAAAGAAACTGAAATTTCTCTACCAATATAAAGATCATGGGAGCAAATTTTCTCTAAGTAACAGTGGACAGAGCAGGTTCTGCTGGGTTTTTCGAGGTACAATAAGCAATGGTTGCGTGCAAGGATTAATAGTTACCCCTCTTTAGTATGCAAGCAGCTGTTAACTAATATTTGCATGAGTAGTTTTTTTGAGATCCTGGTGTGCTTTACAAATGCTGATGAGCTTAATTGGTGAAAGAAGTCAAGATACAACAGATAAATGACTAATGAACATATATGGCCTGTGATCACGCAAGTCTCTTGTGTTAGGACTGACAGTACTTTATGTAATATTTTTCATGATTTAGACCTCAGAGTACTTCACAAAAGGAAGGCATCCTCTTTACCGTATAGGACAGATGGAGACATCAAAGCAAGGAGGAGGAAACTAGTTATTCCTCTTCCAATCTATTGACCCGAACAGTGTGTTTTTTTGAGAACGTGGAATATGTGGCAGGTTATTTGGGGAAAATTGTATCACCATTAACTACCGATAAATTCAGATATATTCTAGTGACTATTTACTGAATTTCCAGGGAAAGTTAACAGGAAACTTTTTTTTTTATTATCTAGTTTCACTTATGCTTTCAAGTCTTTTTCCTTAGATTTGTAATAAAGTAGATATCTTAAATGCATTAAGTAGATGAGAGAATGTTGTATTCCCTTTCTTGAGAAAAAGCTGACAATATTTAGCATGTTTGCTGAGGGTATCTGAGTAAAGCTGGAGACAGTGTGATGAGCTGTTCTGCATCCCAGGGGTTCACTGCTCTTTCTGTGTTTATTTTCAGCTACTATAGGGCCCCCTAAAGTGAACAGTGTGACTGTAAGCTCTGACTCGCTTCTCATTAGTGTCACACCCCCTTTTGGATCTGAAGCAGGTGATTTTCTTCAGTATCATGTGTCCTACTGGGAGAATGCAACATGTACTACTAAAAAAGTAAGAATTCTCTCTAATTTATTTTGTTCATAATGCCTTTGTGACTAAGAGATATGAGTCAGTGTCTCTTGGCAAAACAGCAGAAATGGAGGAAGAAAACGAATGTCATTTTTCTCTAGAAGCGAAGGTCATCATTTGGTGTCTTGGAAAAAAGTTAATTTGGTCTTGGCACAAGTATTGCATATATTACGAAACTTTCAAAAACATCTTTTTTTCCTCCATATGAAATGAAGGTTAAATCACATTGCAGACCAAGGGAGAGAATCCACAAAGTGTCAAAGGTGGCTTTAAAATGGCATTTAGATTCCAAAGTTTGCTTAGGCAATTTGGAAAACGCTGAAATATCCTTCTTCCTTTCCTGTGCTGGGCTCGTTTGTGCTTGCAGCTTCAGTAACAGGCTGCTTTGGCCTGATGTTGCCTGTTCCTAGGGCAGAGAAAGGCAGAGTTATTAGAAACATGCTGGAGACAGCTGGGGTGAGCTGTCCCTGTTCATATTGAGACTTAGAGGTGTTGGTCTCATTGTGCTCTTATGTTGCTGTCTGGGCCCTGGTAATTGTGTTCTTGACAGGCCAGCATTGCAGGGGAGGGATTAAGTTACACTTGGAAAAAAAAAATTAAAAAGAGGGAGAAGATTCAAAAGAATATAATTCTGAAGTCAAATGTTTAAAAAACAGAAGCAGAAAAAAATGATTTATTTTAAAACCCTTTTGTTTCAAGGACCTTGCTAAATCTGAAACGCCTCCGCTTCCTTCCTCTCTTGCACCAATGTGTATTTTTCTCACACACATAAAATACCTTCATGTTTGAGATTCAGACAAGAAGTCGCTCTTGTATGCTTCTGTAGGCTTCACCGAGGCTGTTATCCTAGCCCCTTACAAGTTAAAAATTCCCAAAAGACTGTGGTGGCCATGTGGAGACTGTGGAGGTTTTGCACTGCCCGTCAGCTGTTTTCCCCTTCAGCAGAAGGAGCTGAGACGGGGGAAGCTCTTCACTGAACTACAGTTCCGTCAGCCTCCTCTGATGGTGGAGGCACTTCTCATGGCTTGTTTTGCCCTCCCCCTTCATATACTGCGCTCGGTACCTGAGCTGTGACAGAAGCTGTGTCGAAGCGTCCAGCAGCATATTGTGGATAAAATGAGACCTTGCATCAGTTTTCATGCCTCTGCTGTTCGTGCCCTTATAGATGGTTTTAAATGGTCAGGCTTAATTTCATTTAAAAATAATGACATTTCAAATGCATTCAAGTAGGAAAGTTGAAATATGTTTCACTGCTTCTCTTGTTTGGGAAAGCTGAATTATGAAAAATAAAATCTCTGCTTTTTGAATGAGAAACTTAAATATGGGGAGGGGATTTGTGTTGAAGACGGGTCTGGTTTTTACAGTAACGCCTATATGTATTTTTTTTTGTCTTTTAAACAGGAGACAAAGATGAGCAATACACTATTCAAAATCAGAAATCTAAAGGAATTGACACTTTATTGTTTTAGAATTCACATAGAATTGATGACACATTCAGATCTCCACTTACACGGACTGCAAAGTGTCCCAGAGTGTTACAGAACTACAATCAGTGGTATAAATCTGATTTTGTTATTTTTTGTATATAATGGGATGAGTGTAGAACATGAGTCTTAGATCGTGTAACCGGTCACTTACGTACCCGTATCTGTCAGTAGTGCTAAGAGAGCACCACTGGTAGTAGTTCACAATTGTCGTTAATGGCAAAGCAATAAGGAGAATTTCAGTCAGTAGTTGAGGGTCTGTGTTGTACTCTTCCCCTCGTCCTTTTCCTTCATAAATACTGCTACGGGTATTACTTTCTAGAAATATGCAAAGAAAGAAAATACAAATACTTGGTCTTTAGAGGGAGTCGTTGATGAAGGAGATGGTGTTACTCTTGCAAATCCTCTCCCTCAGCCACTTCCTCCTGCAGAACAGGAATGTCCCTCTCCTCTTTGACCTGCTCCCTTCTCTGACATTGTGAGCTCCGTGTTTTTTGTACGCGATAAGAGAGAGGGTAAGGGGAGGAGAGGGCACGTGCAAGATAACGGAGTTTGTCCCTCTCTTGAATCTCTCCGTGTGACCACCAACACACAGGCACAACTGATCTTTAGCATGCTTTGAACACGCTGGAAGATGTGTAGATGAAACCTGCTTACGCAGTTCCTGAAGCCCCACAGGGGCTGACCTCCCAGGCAGTATTGACCAAGTACTTGATCGCAAGCCCCTGAGCTGTGATGTCGGAGTCTGTGATGCTCCCTTGGCGCCCTTTGCTGAAGGGAGGTGCATGTTCTGAAAGAGAAGCCCCTGGCATTAATGGCCCTTGCCGACAACTTGAGGGTGGAAGGACAGACTGCATTCCCCGCCTGCCCTCTGCCCGCCAGCAGTGATTCCTTCAGCTCTGCGTTTGCCCTGCTAGCGTGTCAAGTAGAAGCTTGTCTTAGGCTGCGTGATTAAGGGGAAGAAGCTCGTGGAAGCTGGTGACTTCCTTGTGGAGTCACAAAACAAGCTACTTCTGAACACCTGTGTTCAGAGTGCATCTGTAGTAGAGTTGTGATCTTAGCCTTGGAAATTATACTTTGATTACCAAGTATAGTAAATTTCAGCTTGCTGTATATTGTTTTACACTTGATGATGTCTAAACACGAACCTACCATATGTATATGGTGGTTTGTTTTTTTTTTTTCTTTTCCAGAGGCAACCAGAGCTGGATATATTGTACTAATATTTGTGTTGGTGTTACTTTTTGTAAATCTGGGAGCAGTTGGTTTGTTTCTTCTGTGGAGACACCACAAAACAATTAAATATTGGTCTCGGCCACCTTTAGAAATCCCATCGCACTTTGAAGAGGTATGTGTAGACACTTTATTTTTCTCCCCCCCCTCTCCCCCTCCCCCTGTAAAAGACAGTGATGATCTTGGAGCGAATGTGAACAAAGCTAGTTGTTGCATAACAGAAACAGATACAAATGATTGTTGACTTAGTGTAAGCTGTTACTTTTCTCATATCTGCTTTCCTACTTTATTCCTCTTTTACTCAACTGAATTATTTTTTTTCTCTGCACTAAGATACAAATGCTGCTGTGATCCTGTTATGACTACCCCTTGTCCACCCCTTTCTTTGCTTAGCAAAGTCATCAGGCCCAAAACAGTTGCTTACTTGAAGCAAAAAGCTTTTGTGCGCTGCAGAACGTGTACTTGGGACCTAGGTCTCGGATTAGAAATCAAATATGGAGAAGCGAACACTGATTGTTTTAAGAGCAAAGACTGACTTGGAGACTAAGGACTACCTAGGGGAATGTTCTTGGGCTTTTTCTTTTTTTCCTGTAGTTTTAGCAATACTCGGATGAAAAGGTCATCCTGGGACTTTTTTCCTCCTTGTAGCTCACGCATTTCTGTACTAAACAATACCGTTTCAGTCCTGTTCATCTTCCTCCTTTTAGTATCCAAACAGGAAGTAGTCTCTTAAGCAAAGTTCTTGATTTAAAAGTTCTTGTTCAGCATACATTCCATAATTTTAAAAGCTTGTATTTGTTTGCAGTTCTTTGAGGTGTATTTCTTTGTATATATCTGCGTGTCAGAGTAGTCCACGGTACTATGGTAGTTCTGTGATTGTGGAGCTGTTTTTCCAGATTTTTATAGACATATGGGTGAATGAACCCAGACTTCCTGCCGAGTCCTGAGTACATCATTTTCTCCTTTCATGCTACCTCAGCTACCATTTCATGGGGGCTCAGTGGTGACAGCTGTATCACATATCAAGTGAAGTATATCTCACGTAGGGGAAAAAAGTCCTGGTACTGTGTGCTAAAATAGTGCTGCATTTCATGCAAAGGACTTGCAAGAACAGAGTCTATCATCATGTGTTCTGGAGTAATTGTATTGAACTGGAAAACATGCAGCAAACGTAGATACTCTTGAACAATGTTGAGCCTGGTTTTGGGCAAAACACTGATAAGAAATGAAGGAAAACCAGTAAATACGCAGAATTTTTAAAACGTGTATTTCTAAAAGGGATCAACCAGCCTGAGGCTTCTCCTCTTAAAACATTTTCCATAAGTACAGAATACCAATTATTTTAAGGCAGTTTCGCATGTACTCCTTTAGATTTTCAGAAAAATCACGTGCTTCCTTCTTTTACAGAAGGATCTCGGCTTTCAGCGTCGGAGTTACAGGGAGCAGTTCTACCGCAGAGACGCCTTCACATAGCAAAGCCAAACTGACATTCATTTATGTCTTGAATTTGCTAAAGTGGACGTATTTGAGGTTCCCATATGAAACATTTGTTTTTAATACACCTGAAAAAATAATCCTGTTGCTCATTAGCCTTGCTATGATTACAGAGGAAGTGGTGCCTTAATTGAAACTGAGGTTAATTTTGTCCCACAAAAGAGATGTGACTTGAGCCGCGGTCCCGTCTCAGCCAGATTGTGACACCTCCTACAGTACAGAACAAGCTTTTGAGTAAAACTACAAGCTACGTCAGTCTTTTAACAATGTGAAGGTGGCCCTGTTCCAGACACTTACTTTTTTTTTTTTTTAAAATCAGGGAAAAAGTGTTCAATGGCATTCTTTTTTTTTTTTTGGTTCAGTACATGAAGTGGTAGATGGCTCCAATTCCCCTTGAAACACAAGATCAGCTTAGTGATAAGGAGAGTATGTGGGGGTGGCAGGAGGAACAGAAAGCATTTTCTCTGCCCCACAGTTTTTTTTCTAATGCTCTTTTCTTTGATTATGCATTCATTGTAAAGCTGGGAGGAAAGGGGAGCAGAGGGGAAGTCAAAGCAAAAAGTAACTACAAAAGAAGAATGCCACTAGAGTTTTCTGGTAACAATAAAAGATGCAGATCTGACTTGCCTGACACTGAACAAACCAGAATCTTGGATCTCATTTGCTCCATCAGTGCTTTAGACAAGCTGTCAGTTGCTAGATTCCTGCAGGTGGAGGATATGTCCCCAGCGGTGTAATAAGGAAGTGTTTTCTTCTGTGGCTTGTTCTTAACTAGCAGGAATTTCCTTAAACTGACATGAAAATAGTATTAGCCAAAATTTATTAAAAACAAAAAAAATAGGAAGTGCAGGCTGCTTTAACTCACTTAAATGGATGTTTGCGTGATTTGATTCCCCCTCCCCC